TTCATTTACACAAAAAAAAAAAAAACTAAAAATTAAAAATTAAAAACAAACAAAATCGGTCTACGATATTAGAGACATCAATTCATATTAAAAATAATTAAATTCTAAATATTTTGAAAATTATAGTTTATTATATATAGTTAGGCATTTTTCATATATATTTTTTAAATCTGTTGTTATTAAACAAAATAGGGTTTTTTTTTCACAATTAAATTGTTAAAGCAACAGAACAGTATTGTTCCCATTCTTGTTGCTCCATAGATTTATTAGAGAGTCTCAAGACATTTGCTATGTGTAAAATTTTTAAAGCTTAAAGTGTTGTGTGTTGAAATTGTTCCATAAAATATTATTAAAGAAAATATGTATAATATGCCTAAAATATATTATTACATTAGTCAAAAAGTTTTTGTTTTAGATAGTAATATGTAATAATACTCATTTAGAGAAAAACAATAAACACACACACACCACCACCTTTAATTTGTTAGTAAAAGCGTGAATAATGCAGTAAATCAAATCGTTAATTAATTTCTGTAGGCATATTTTTGTTTGTTGTATATATTGTATTTTTTTATGTACATTATAAAACTATCATTTTGAAATAATTATGTACTTTTTTTTTCTCTTATATATTGTACATTTAGTACATTTTGATTTTAGCATATAATTTTGTAAAATTTGTTTGTTAAAAAATACGCATGCATTATATTTTTCAGCAATTTTTAATTTTATAAGATTTGTTTTAGTATAATTTTAAAATTTTTCATTTATTTTAAATACTATTTGGCTTTTATTTGGTTGACGGGACTAAGAACTTATTTTATACATTCAAAAATTTGTAAACAAGTTTTTATTTCTATGATTATACACCGGTTAGGTATTATTACAGTAGCTTTTTGTGCTAAACATTGAGCTCTGCTGTCAATTTATAAGAAATCGTTTGCGTTTCGGTTTAGATTTTTTTTATATTAATTATATATTCGATATATATTCGATGATAATAATACGGATTTTCGGTTCTCCGGTTTTTCGGTTAAAAGTAATACAATTTTTAAACTACATATTCATAAGATGTTGTAGTATTTTGTAATTAATGTGAAAGTGAAAAAAGAAGAAGAAAAAAAAAAAAAAAGAATAAAAAGAAGAAGAAAAATGTCTAGAAATAATTTTGCTTCTTGGTTGGTGCTTGCTGAATTGTATCCTGTTAGCCGTGATCAAATCCTGTTATTGATGTGGTAGTAAATAAGTAACTGTTGCTTTCAAAGGGTAACAGTGAGGTACGAAGAATGTTTACTACCATAAGCAGAAGAGGATGCAATAACTGGATTAATTAGCAGCAATAATTATAATACTTACTATTTAATTATATGGTAAGTGTTTCAACAAATACAGGTAAGTATACTTTATTCGACAGTATCGGTTGAATGAAGTGCGAATAAAATAATTTTTGATTTTGAATTCTTTTAAATTTAATTTTAATGAATTCTTTTCAATTTTTTTTTTTTTTGTGTCCTTTTAATATACTACCCAAAATTTCCTTATCCTTTTAAAACACATTCCTCCTAATACACAACTCATTAATATATTGTTAATAACTAAATTATAGCATATCATACATATTTTGCTATGAAATTAGTTTTCAGGTTATTGATCAATTTATATATACATATATAATAAATCAAAATTAACCACACGGGTAAGCTTAAATAAAGGTCCTCTTTCACAAAAGTAAGTTATGGTTTCACATATAAAAATGCTGTGTATGCTGCAGTATTAGCATACTTTAATGATGATGATTATAACATGAACGACCATCTTACAATTAGTCGGTGTTGTTAAATGAAAATCAAACTTTAGTGGGAAGATAATATTCATATACTACTACGTTTAGGGGAATTATCTGTGATTTAAATGGCTTTTTAGTCGGCCACAACGCGCAATGCATTCAAATTAATATTATTGCACTAATGACTAAAAACTATGGCCACTTTGGGTGGTAGTTGTGGAATGACAGAGGTATGTTTTTAAATTGTAAGTAACTTATTTTAAATATGTATTAATTTTTTTTTTTAAATTAAAAAAAAACCTTA